TCCGTCAACATTCCACCGAATCAGTTCATTAATGCGTCATCACGATTTTCTTCTTGAGTCGCTTTCTTACTTGCTTTCCTAGCATGAAAAACAGATATCTTGCCACCAAATGAATTCTCACTTATCTTTTTGCAATCAAGTAATTTAAGAATAATTTGCATTTGGTTATTATATTTGAAAGTTAATTGTGGAATTTTGCTCACAAAAAGATTTAGATGCGAAATTTAAAATAATAGAAAGTGGAAAAGTTCACTAGCGATAATATAAAATTTCTAAAGATAAGTTTCATTTTATAATTGTAAAATTTTACAAGTGATATAGTGATATAGTGAGACCATTTGCGAGTCAACTAATTGTCGAAATGAAGATAAGCGTGGCTTCAGAATAAAAATTGTGTTGAATAACTGTCTTATAAAGCACTGAATGGAAAGCTTAAAATGATTTAAAAAAAATAATTAAAAAAGAATTTGTGTTAAGATAATTTTTTATACTAATAATTTTTAAAAATATATCTTATTTTGTCTAATTAATAGAACTTACTTTTTATTTAAATGTCAATCAAATCTAATTTAGAAATACAATGAACATAAGTATTAAAAATTCTAATAATAATATATTAGAATTATTTATGTTATTTACATACTAATTTAAAAAAATAAATTGTAATGATTAATAATATTATTAAATAAATGTTCTATTAATATTAATATTAATATTAATAATTAAGTGATATATATGTGTGTGTATATATATATATATATATATATATATAGAGTCAATCACTTTATTTCAACAGTTATGTGTCTGTCAAATTTTATCGCTCTATTCTCTTTAATGGCGATCAAGCGAAAAGCGATTGTATTGTGACTGTTTAAACACTTATATTGGCATGGCAGCAAGGATCCTTACAGAAGAAGCGATAAAGTTTGCGTCAATGACGAAACGTAATTACGAAGAATTCTAATGAGGCTGCCGGCGATGCTCTTGAGTGAATAAGAAGAGAAGCAACGCTTTTAAAGCTATGATGAAAAACCCTATAAAACGTAGACTCTTTCATATTGCTATTTGACTTTTAACTTTGTCTTGAAACATCTTCTCTTTATTAATTTTTATTTGGTCCATAATCGTGACAAATTGACAGGTGATTTGAATCTTTAATAAAATAAACTTATGTATGTATTACTATGATTTCTTTTATAAACGTTTCAAGATACAAGATGTTAAGATCATTGAAATAATTAATTAATTATTTAAAAAGAATTCATGAAAAAGTACGAGGATCGTTTGAAATAAGTTGCTTATATATAAGTTATTTATTCAGATTAGCAGAAAGTTACGGTTTTCAATTTAATAATTTGTACCAAACTGCTTTCCGAAACGTTAGAATTTTAAGTATACTCGACGATAAATTCGGTGTGTCAATAATTAAACTCAACTATGAGAATTTCCGATGAAATTGCCAGGCGTTTCGAGAGTTGTGAAACGGTTTGCACATCGCGCCGAACTTGGTTTGGATTTTAGCGATTTGCCATATCCATATTCGCGCGCGAAGTGATTATTTGCCTACAATGCAAGATACAACCATATTTTTGAACACAGTTAAGAATGATTTAACAATCTCGCGAATATATCGTAATTTACGACAATTGTTTCTATCTATTGCTAAATGACTATAATTTCATCATTGATTGCGTGCAATCGAAAATATTTTTTGCCGTAATAACATCGAAAAAGAAAAGTCAATATAGTTTAATTGACGTTGATTGAAATGGAGAGTAGTTGATAGAACATTTCATTTTAACCATATCTGATTGAAACGTTTCTATGAAATCGTTATTTTTGATTGTTTCTAAATATAGTGACCGTCGATCACTATCATATCAATACCAATACATTGCCGAGAGATTTTTCTCGTGTTTTTCATTCTAATGCTTGAGGCTGATCACGAGAATTCTCAGAGCATATTACACTTAAAAAACAATTAGCTCGTGGATACAGCTAGTGTAAAATGAGGTTTGTGATATATTAACAATTCTATGGTAATAGTTACTTGATAATTGCCCATTGTATTAGTCGTCATTAATCATCACGTGTCTAATGACAGTTATTGGTTTCAGAGAGAAATTCTGGTATTGATATAATAATTTACAGTCATTACGCTTGTCCGTTGAAAAGATGGGATGCATTTAAGCAGTATATATTCTGAGTTCAGCAGTACATTCTGGTCTAGTTATATCATCACATCGGACGTAGTGTTCGCGGTAAGTTTTTCTCGTGCATCATTGACGCGAGACATGTTACTGATGAGGAACGATCTGGAAATTCCTCCAGCAAAACGATCAATGCGCGACGTTTCTTGACCGTTAGAGAAGCTTCTCATTCCGATCCGGAGTTTTCCACACCATAAGCGGCGAAAGAGAAAGAGAGAGAGGGAGAGAAAGAGGGAGCATCGTAGCGGCCGGAGGCAACGCAAAAATAGTCCAGCATCTCTTGGAATCCGGTCGAGTCTTTTCAGAGAAAAACGTAATGCCAATAGTCACGCTGTACTTTGACAAAGTTCTTTTTCGTCGAGTGCAGCGTTCGTTTCTTTTTTTTTTTGTCAACCGTGTCACGTATTTACGAATAATCCGAGAAATTGGCACTGTGAGCGGCGCAACGACACGTTTTTACCTGTACCAGGAACCCCCGGGGGGATTATGTGACTCAGTAGTGAAGTAACAGTTTACTTTATTTAGAAAAAATATATAATACATTCTTTTAAAAATACAAATATGACACATAAAAAATGATGAGAAAAAATAATATCAAAATGAACCAACCTACAGCGTGATAATAATATTGTGTTAAATTAACAAGCGTTGTTGCAAAATGCTGTAACAGCGTTTCAAGTTACAATTTATTATCTGTTTCTTGAGTTAGTCTAACAAGACTAAAAATAACTTGCGATGTAATAATTTTATGCATAATAAATTCATAAGTAAACAGCATTACAGTTTACAATCTATTTTTTAGTTTAGTTTAAAATTAAAAAAAAACATCTAATTATTATAGTATTTATAAATAGTATTACAAATCTAATCAAATACAGTAAAACATTGTGAAATTCTTTAATATATATTTTTAATATATATATTTTTTAAATATATTTTAATATACATATTTAATATACACATTTTAATATATATTTTTTTTATAATACTTTTTATAATAGTTTCATTCAAAGCAATATACATTCTATAAGAATTTGCATTTGATGATAGAAGCATTTGATGTAAAATTTTTAATTTTCTAATAAGCTAGACAAAGCGGGACGTAGATAATATTTTTGATGGAAATTGTATAGAACAGCAAGATTGTTCGTCGCTGTCGGTTGGAAATGCATCTATGATCCTTTGGCATTATCGACGAAACGAAGTACCGGATAACTCTGTTACGAGTCAATCTCTCCGCCAGGAATAAGCAAGTCCCCGGAGATGCTTTGATGGAGACAGTCGTAATAGTTTTTATTCCGGAACTTTGAATCCGTTTTATCCGCGTTATTTTTAACTTTATTTCAAGGGAACGATCTCTACTTACAAAATTACTTGTAACAATCTTATGAATTGATTATTATAACTTATATTTATTTTAATATAATGTTTTCTCTACTTGCATACGTTTAAAACATATTTTACATAATAATAATAATAATAATAATAATTACGATTCAAATTGAAATATTTAGATAAAGAAAGAGTTCTTTCTCTTTATAATAATATTACAATAAATTCTTTCAATAAATTCTTAATATACGCATATCTTATGCCTCTTTTATTTTTGCATAAGCGTAAGCGTTTATTTTCGCCATTAGAGACAAATCTGTTTTCGATATTTTTTTCGACAGGAAATTATATTTACGCCAATATCTGAAGGATTCTGCATTATGAGAAGAAAGCGATCGGTGATGCGAACATTTGTTCGTATTGTAGACGACATCGCACTATTTATATATACTCTCTGAATAGAATAAGTAGGAACTACGTACCTTTTCTATTCAAAATTTCAGACAGCTGGTGTGATTAATCGAACTTCTTCATGGAGCACCACATGGGAAATGTTGCGTGCGATCTAATCGATTGGAAGATGACAACGTCGAATTTCACCTCATGTATTGGTGATTTATTAAGCCGTTCATGGATAGTAATTACCAGATTGTGTATTTGATCGTGACATAATCGTTTAAAGGATTGTGCCGGGATTGTGCTATTGTCATATAAACACAGAGATGATGAGGGAGAGATTGCATTTTCGAAAAATTAGGACAAGATAAATTTGATTATAGAATTGTCATCACATATAGAGGAAGTCAATAATGCTATGAGTTAAAAACATTTCGAATTTATATGTATTATTTGTGCAATTTATTTTTCTAAATTTGCAAATGTAATAGTAAATATTTTATTATATTGAAATTCTTCCTCATATTAGCCTTTGTTCAAAATATCCATATTTTTGTTATATTTATATAAATGGAAGGATAGTTAAAAACTTCATTTAGATGCTTTAGAAGATTTTAGTTTACTAAAGTTATAATATTTAATTAAATCATAAATAATTTTGTGTAATTTTTAACAGTATCATGTATATGCAACGAAATGTAATATAGTGTTTGTATACACTGAGAAAAAAAATACTGTTGAATCAACAGCATTAGTCTAATTGGAAATAATTTTGTGTTAATGACATTATTAATGAAAGAAAGAATCTCGATTGTTAAAAGAAGGGCACATTTATTTCATGAATAATGTCGTTGAATTAACAAAAATTTTTTTCCAATTGGACTAATGCTGTTGGCTCAACAGCATTTTTTCTCAGTATAC